ATCCCTCTGCATGTTCAACATATTGGAATAACGGGAGAACCCCGAGCTCAGAGTTGGGTTTTTATAGTAAAGGTGGGGTGTCTTATTTCTCTTGACCAGACCCCAACATAAACTCTCTCTAGACCAGTGTGGAGGCGTGGGAATAAAGACACAACTCATGTGGCTTTTTCGGGAGGGAGATTCTCAGTGATCCCTCATGAAGTCCTGAGTTCACATCCTGAAGAAATCCCCTCATTTATTCTCCAAACAGCTTTTATACCAAAACATAAACTGGGTGGGAAATACACCAGCATTCTGTCTCCTAGGTAACCAGGTGAATGGCATTTGGTCAGGCAATCTCAGCCTGTGTCTTGCAGTCAGGCATTGTCTCAGGGTTAACTATTGAGACTCCAGACTCCATTTAAATTCATCGATGGCCAGAGTCCCAGGTGATAATGGTTGGAAGTAAAGCACTTCCTTTGTGTGACCTGCCTAGACTTAGCTTATCATGGCTGGCCCCCACACTAACCTGCTAGTGCCAAACATTCACGGCAAGTAGAAGGTACAGTTTTAGTGTACTATGGCAGAGTTAAGTATAATTCAATAAGAGAACATCTAGGAGAATCTTGGAATTAATAAAAGGATGAAGTTCTGAGAAAGAGTTATTATTATGGAGACAGACATGAGATAGGAAGGATTCTGCAGACACAGAGAAAGGCAAGTTCAGGAGTATAAAAAAAAGACAGAGAATGTGTTTAGAGAGTGTGGTGGTTAGAGTGGAAATGGCCCCATAGACTCATAGGAGTGACATTATTGGAGGTGTGGAATACACTTGTTGGAGGAAGTGTATCAGTGGGTGTAGGCTTTGAGGTTTCTTTCAAACGTCATTCTTTCTACTGCCTGCTGATCTGCACATAGAACTCTTAGCTTCCTCTCCAGGTCCATGTCTGCCTGAGCGCCTCCATGCTTCCTGCCATGACGATAATGGACTAAACCTCTGAACTGTAAGCCAGCCCCAATTTCACATTTAAGAGTTGCCATGGTCATGCTGTCTCTTCACAAAATAGAAACCATAACTAAGACAGAGAGTCTACCAGTGCCCAATGTAAGAAGTTGGTAAAATTTAGACCGGTATAGATCTCAAGGCCTGGCTGTGTAGGTGAGAGTTGGTAAATATTGAGCTCGGCCCAGGTGACACTGGAATGAGACACCTTGCTCTCTCAGGAAGGGCAGACACAGGAAACCCAGCAGAATGGCTCTCGGGGGTCAGTCCTCTAGGGACTGTTTCAGTTCAGGAACTACCATGGCCTTGCAGGGCAGGCCACTATTGTGGAATATTTGTTTAACTATGCGAAGGTGTGCTGCGTTTGTTTATTTATGTAAAGATGTGTTGCTGTTCCACCTTGCCTGCCTAAGGCACCTGATTGGTCTAATAAAGAGATGAAAGGCCAATGGCAGGACTTCTGGGCAGTGTAAGTAGGAGGAGAAAATTGGGCTCAAGAGAAAGAAAGAGAAAGAGACATGAGAGAGACACCAGGGGCCAGCCAGCCAGACACAGATGAAGCAGGACATACAGAATGAAAGAAAGGTAAAAGTCCCAAGGCAAAACATAGATGAATAGATACAGGTTAAATTAAGTTAGAATAGCTAGTGGGACAAGCCTAAGCTAAGGCCAAGCCTTCCTGATTAATAGTAAATCTGTGTCTTTATTTGGTTGTTGTTTGGACGTCCAAAAAAATTCCAACTACAGCCCACATTCCATGTTCCATGACGAATACTTAAAGAATGAAAAAAAGAACAGGATGGATCCGACTGGGTGTGGTAGAAAGATAATGGCAGTGAGTGGCATCCAGGGTTCAGGTTTCTGAGCATAAGTGGGGCTGCTCATCCTCTTCCTCAAGGGAGGGCTGCGAGAAGAGAGATTTGAAAAACACAGGAGAAGTAGGCTTGCTTTTCATCTCGTCATCATCGACATCGCTATGGGTGATAGCAGCAGTACACGAGTGTGCTGTGTATACATAATGTGTGTGCATGACTGTGGGTTTATGTGTACCATGGGGCACATGAGGAGGTCAGAGGACAGCTTTTTTGTTTGTTTCTTTGTTTGTTTGAGACAGGGTCTCTGTGCTGGCTAGTCTAAAGTCAAGTTGACACAAACTAGAGTCATCTGAAATGAAAAAAAAACCTCAATTGAGAAAATGTCTCCATAAGATCCCACTAAATGGCATTTTCTTTTTTTCTATTTATCTTTTTTTTTGATATTTATTGAGCTCTACATTTTTCTCTGCTCCTCTCCCTGCCTCTCCCCTCCCCCCTTCAATCCTTCCCTAAGGTCCCCATGCTCCCAATTTACTCAGGAAATCTTGTCTTTTTCTACTTTCTACTTCCCATGTAGATTAGATCTATGTAAGTCTCTCTTAGTGTCCTCATTGTTGTCTAAATTATCTGGGATTGTGGTTTGTAGGCTGGCTTTCTTTGCTTTATGTTTAAAAACCACCTATGAGTGAGTACATGTGATAATTGTCTTTCTGTGCCTGGGTTACCTCACTCAAAATAATGTTTTCTAGCTCCATTCATTTTCCTGCAAAATTCAAGATGTCGTTATTTTTTTCCTGCTGTGTAGTACTCCATTGTGTACAGGTATCACATTTTCCTTATCCATTCTTCCGTCAAGGGCCATTTAGGTGTTCTGTTAATCCTTCCAATTTTAGTACATGAACAGTCTAGGCTGATGATACTGATCAGATTAGCAAGAGGACAGCTCATGTAGACAGCGAGCCGGGACTTCCCAACTGACTACTCTAATCTCTGCTTAGGCTTTTCCTATATTTGCTAGGGACTGTTGGGATGGTTTAGAGTGAGACAGCACTCACTGCTCTTGCAGAGACAGGACCCATGTTTGGTTTCCAGCATCCACCTGGGGGTTTACAACTGTCCTTTTCCCTAGTTCCTGGGGATCCAGTGTCCTCTTCTCAATTCCCTGGACGCCAGGCATGCATACCGTACACACACACACATATGCGGGCAAAACACTTAAACACATAAAAATTCTTGAAGGAAAGAAGGAAGGAAGGAAAGGAGGAAGGAGGGAGGGAGGGAGGGAGGGAGGGAAGGAGGAAGGGAAAGAGAGAGAAAGGAAATACAAATATTTGGTCAACTACAGTTGAAGGTGTAATCTGGTGGCCTTGTCTGTGACCTGGATACCTTGTCCCTGTAGGACAGCGCCCACCAACTCCCAACCTCCCCCTCACAGCGATCTTACCTCCTCTCTCTTTCTCTCCCTTTCTGTCTGCCCTTCTTCTGGAGAGGCAGTTTATGCCTCTCTTTCTTCTCCCCTTCCCTTTCCCTTTTCCCTCTATAACCCACTAAATAAACCATACCCAAATTCTCTCTGCACCGAGAGGCCTCAGGCCACCCGCCAGGGGACCCGCAGAGGCCTCGGGTGATCCGCTGCAGCCCCTTGTGGGCTGGCGCCCCACCATCTCTATATAAATGATAGCAGAAGGTACCTCATCCAGGGAATTAAGCACACAGCAGGCACCACAGTTTGAGATCATGTTCTTGTACAGTCAGTCAGTGAATGAAATGAGCTAGAAAATAGTCTAGTTCTTGCTACTTTATTCCTAGGACTGGAATTCTTTCTGGTTCTCTCGTTACATAAGAAACCCCATCCCCCCCCCACCCCACCCCTTCAATCACGTGTTGCTCCTTGTGTATTCCAAGTAGGACAGTGAGACAATCAAGAACTCAGAGCTGAAGGGATGAGGGAAGGGGACTGACAACGTCCAAAAATCCTCATAGGAGATTTGAGAGGTAACGGTGGGGGCGGGGGGAGTTAAAGAGAAAGGCTGCAGATGTCCGCCCACGCGGCAGGTATATGCAGAGTGGCCACCGGCCCATGCTGTGTGAAGCTCTCTCTGTAGTTTACAGGGATTAGCTTCATTTTAAAGGTTCTGGGGCAGATTAGGAGTCGGGCCAGTTCATATTGCTCACCACAAGGTTTGCATTCCTGTGGAAGATTTTGTGGTACACCTGCATACAGAACTATTTGAAAATCCGTTTAAAGAAAAAAAAAGCATTTGGAAAGGCTCCTTGTACAAAGCGGCACAAATTAACTTGATTAGTTCAAAGATTTCTAAACATAAATTTGACTTCACAGAATTCTAGCCTTCTTATTAGGATGTATATAAAATTTACATATACGAACAAGATACAGTTGCATGTATACAGAGACACACACGTATATATGTATTGATATAGATGCAATAATGTATATTGTTCAGCTTTCAAAATATCATGACTTTGTGATAAATATTTCAGTAGACAATAGCCACTTTAATATTTAAACACCCAAAACCCAAAAGATTCTCTTTAAATGGCGCCTACCTCTGCTGCTAAAAACGTGCTGCAGATCAGTTTTCATTAGTAAATTATTTACAACACCTCAGCCACTTTTTTAAAAAACTGAACCCTTACGTCCAATGAAGACACACGAACAATCCTAAAGGAAATTAAATGCAAAGCATAGGGAGCAATGGCTACGCAGAGCCTGAGCGAGCTCACTTCCCAGCAAACTACAAACGCTAAGATTAAATTTAAGGCCCAAGTGCTTCCATAGTCTGTAAACACTTCTCGGTCTGTCCAACAAGATTATCTTCTCCCAATGATTCTCAACGATTAGCATAAACAAAACAGAAGGGGGGGGGAACCAAACCAAATTTTAAAATTCAATCATGTGGGGCAGCTAGAGTTTTCGTTGACTTAATCGGTCATCCCAATGCGATTTATTCAAAATAAGCTTAAAGGGCTGGGGCAGGGGGCTGTTTAAGCAACTATTTATTTATTTATTATTGAGACACCATCTCCCTTGGTAGCCCAGGCTGGCCTCAGCCTCTGGAGGGGCTGGGATTTGTGTCCGCTAGAATTGTTCATTTTTGGCTAGATTAGATAAAGACTCATTAAAAACTGCGATGATCCAACACGTTCAGAGGCCTCGGAAATTTCTGTCCAACAAAGGACAGCTGGCAGTCGAAAGCACTTGATAGGGACAGCCCAGGCCCCATCCCAAAGCGACCTGGGATCTCGGTCGCCCAGGCTGCGTGGGGACCGAGGCGCGGCTGTCCCCGCCAACCTCGCACGTGCGCTCGTACACGTAGGCGGGAGCCGCGGGCGGTCCCGCACCCCGCACACCGGCCGGCAGCAGCCGGGCGCTGCGCCCAGGCACGTACAGGGGCGGGGCCAGCGAGACCGAGGCAGCCTTTCCATCCGCAGCAGGTAGCACCGCGCTCGCCTGCCCGGTGCAGGAGTAGCAGGCTCCCCGCCTGCCAGCTAGGGTCAGGCTGCGCTGCTCTCAGGCACCTGCTTTTCTCTGCGTTCCGGAATTCAGCCAAGACGGAATAAAGGAAATTACACAGTAAGCGGAGATCGGGTGTCTGAGCAGCGTCTTGGATAAAATCCACCCATGACAGGTAAGAATTAAATTATTCCCAAACCCCTGAAGGGTGTGAACACAAAGTTCCAGAAGGCATTCAGAGGAGCGGGTGTGGTGAGGTGTCGCTTTTATCTGACAGGACGCTATGTAGAATCATATTCTACAAATTGCTCGAACTCTAACTGGATAACAGGTTCAACGCTACATAAAGGGAAGAAATAAGAGCAAAATGGTCAGGGGCAGACCTGAAACACTGCCATAGGTTTTTTACTCTTACTTCTTTGTTGATTCCAGCCAGCAACATGTTTGTGGTTTTATTGAAGTAAACTTTAAGGCAAAAGCCCTCCACCCCCCAACTCTTTGCTTGACAAGAGTTTAGAACTTTGAACTTTAAAAACCTCTTATCGAAGCTTGGAGGAGGAAGTTAGGATTCGGAATGGTAATTACGAGGTTTTAACCACGTCTATTATGCCATTAATTCCAACAGCTCTGTGAAAGCCACAGGCATTGTTTATAAGCCTTTTATATGTCAAGTGCTTTGTCTTATGTTACACATCTAATCACTTCAGTGTCTCTGTATTGAGAGAACTTAAGTTTTAGTTCAAGCTCAAAACTCAGTAAGTAGCTTTAAAAACACGTTGTTCATTTGTTTCTTGCCACCCCTTTTTGGACATGCCACTTCAGTTCTTCCCAAGTGACATCCAACCTCCATTTTCTACTCTCATTGTGTTTTCCTGTGTGCCAATTTTAAACATTCAGCAATGGGAAACCAGTATGTTCCGCGGACTGGTGGTCAGGACTGTAGGCTCTGGGTTACTGATGGCCAGAATCTACAATGGATAAAATGAGATACAAGCATAGTCCATAGAGGTTGTGAATTAACGTGCAAAATGCTAGCATTAGTTATATAACAGACATTAGGGTCATTTAGACACAGACTTCGCAGAGCGTTTTAGCAACAGCTATGGTAATGGTGACCATTTTCAGTTCTAGGCCTAGCAGGCACCGAACAAATGAGCAGAATATGTCAATTCCTTTTGCTGTGCTTTCGTCAGGGAAAAGTAATACTAGTCATGCATTCATAGCAGCACCGGAGAATGGGGCGGCGTAGGCTCTCCTTGAGGGAGAGCAATGCTTGGGATGATACAGCAGGGTTCTAAAGGCAGTGTAAAGAAATTCAAGATGGTGGGCAATGCTGGGATGGAGTGGCAGACTACCTGGAGTGTACTACGGATGATTTCTTTTCTGAGAAATCACATGTAAGTACTAAATTTTCCTTCCAGCTCCCTTCTGAACCATTGCTCACAAGTCATTTCCTGATTTCTATTATATATTAATTGACAAATTTACAAATACTTGAAAGCTATGTAAATTTCAACTGAAATTAATTTGTTAAACATTTTTAAAATCTTGTGAACTGGGAATATTAAGCAACCACTTTATACTAAAATGTCACCTCTATCACTGTCTGTAATTAAGTGTGGAAGCACGTTGGCTCATGGTGTACTGCCCCCCAATTTTGGAACAGTTTTATTAAAGTGTTAAAATTGTTATTTGCAATCACAGGTTCATCCTAAGATAAAGACTGCTCACTTTGGTTAGGATTTATACAGAGGCTAGAGGACAAGGTTCTCCACTGGTTATGTAAGTGTCAGTGAGGCTATGTTTCTGGGCTTGTGGTATCACGTTTGCTTGGTGTGCATGTGAGGCCCCAGGTTTGACCCACAGATGTTCTCCTGTAGCCCACACAGGCTGTAATTCTTGATTCTTCTGCCTCTACCTCTAAGTGGTGGGATTGCAGGAGTGCACCAGCATTCCCCTACTCCATCATTTCTTATGTTTAGATCTTTCTAGACTTTCTGACCTTTTAAAACTTAGAATGTGAAAGCAAAACAGCTCTATTATAAAAGAAAACACAGGGGAAAAATAAAGCTATTTAAAAATGTTTTTAGAATACTAAAAATGATACATGATATAGAAAGACAAGCATATAGCTAGAGAGTATGTGGTGTTATTTGGAAGTTTCTAAAATTCACAATTACAGGATACTGTTTTCTTTTGACCTGGAAAAGGAACGTCAGGTAATGTATGATTATCTGTAAAACACACCTGCATATTAATGTGTCATATACCCTATCATTGAAACCAAACCCACCAAGATAATGTCCTATGACGTAACATTCTTTGACCTGCCGCTTAGGTTGGGAAACGGTCTTTATTTCAGCTCTATCTTTGTCTGCTGATGGGAACAGGTTAGAAACGCAAAGGGCCTAAGACCCTCCCAACAGTGCATAATTATGATGTTTCACGGTTCGCTTCGCTTATTCCATTCATACTGAAAATATTGAAGTTTTGTGTTTTATATTTTAATAGACTATAAATTTAATGGCAAACTTCTAAAAAATTTATCTTTACAGTGCAATATTATGATTTGTCATTATTTAATGTGGCATTCGGGAATACATTAGATAATGGCAATAATGAATGCAGAAATGCACAATGTAATTTTTATAAAGAACTTAAACTTCTGAGAAATGAGCTGGAAATGTTGAAACAAATGTTAATTTAAACATAAAAGCTGACCCAAAGGGGCCTGGTCCACAAAGGATGTTTATTTGATGTAACAAAACAGTACAGTTAGTGTTAGACCCAACCACAAAGAACAAGGGAATGAAAAATTTATACAATGTACATAGAAAAAACAAGATGTTTGCTATGACAACTCTATATTCCTAAAATAATGCTTCTAAAAAAAATCACTCAATTATTGAAATCTATATGAAAAAAAGATGTTAATAGCGACAAAGTGCATAAAACCAAACATCATATTTTGAACAAATTAACAGACTAGGCAATTTTACTAACAATTCATGATTTTTTTTTGTTGTTTACAGTATAGTCAAAATGTCTTTACACCAACAGGGTGGGCAGAACATTTATGTTTAATATTATTACACAATATTAGCATAAGCTTCCACAACTACATAGGGAACTGTTTTCTTTTGAGCTGGTAAAATAACTAAAGAAACATCAGATAACTTCTCTGAATTGAGAATTTTATCCAAATAAATGCCACATACCTTCAGGATATATGTATATCTCTCTATATCATGTAAATGGCTTTACCCATATAAAGAAACCATACAGTTTAAGAATCATTACAAGATCAACAGTGTCATGATCCAGGCTTAGCAATTTCATAGGCAAAAAAAAATTTCTTCTTAAAAACTAGTTTTATAAATGCAGAATATATTGCATGAGTAACTGCTGGTATTTTTAAGAAAATATATTGTGCAACTGTGGCTACCATATACTGCTGACAAAGCATTATTTTCATGTAATACATGAAAAAAATGAGTAAAAAATTTTCAACTGCCTATGATCATGATGAAGAGTTACTGCCTTTTTAAAAAGTTATATTGGCATTTCATTAAAAACAATTCAATAAGGGAAAACTCCCTCACCAAAAATAAATAAATAAAAGGTGCATTTTAAATGACTACTGCAATGCAATGGTGGAAATACTGAGGAGATTGTGAACGCGCTGCGATCTGGCATTAAAAGAACATACTAAAAAGGGCATTAATGAAAATTAAGTAGAAAGGGGATCAAAACTAAACTATTTGAGTTTGTGCAGTATTGTAGCCAGGCTTCTAAACTTAGATATAGAAAATATAAATAGACTGCTGAGCCACCAGTGTCCAAAAATAACCAACAGAAACAAAAACCCAAACAAACAATAATAACAATAACTGGGAAAAAAAAAGAACACAAAAAACAATCAAAAGGAATGAGATTATAAAAAGCTCAGTTAACTTGATCCAGAGCTCTGAGTAGTTCTTCGCCCTGCAGTAGGTTTCTGCTGCCTTGTACGGGAGCATTAACTTCACAATCATAACTGGTCAGTTGTGGTAATCCACTCTCATCCATTGATTGCCCCAGCAGTCTACATGCTAAGTCTGAAAAACAAAGACACCTAAGTATCATTAAATTGATATTGTGCAGTAGGTATTGGGTAAAATAAAACAAATTTCTGGAAAGGTTTTAGCCTATGGGGCAACCCCTCCACTATGCAAATAAGTGTAATCAAGTTTATTTCTGCTGTCAGAATGATTACATGAAGTCTGTTCTGAAATGCCCAATCCCTGAATTTCAGATGTGGCCAGCAGACAAAATGCTACTGTACTTCATCTTTCTTTCTTTCTTTCTTTCTTTCTTTCTTTCTTTCTTTCTTTCTTTCTTTCTTTCTTTCTTTCTTTCTTTTTCCTTCCTTTCCTCTTCCCTCCTTTCTGTGCTCCCTCTCTCTTTCATCTTGAGACAGGGTCTCAGTTTGTATTTGCAGACCTTACTGGTGTGCCACCACCACCTGGCCAATTTTTACTCTTCCTAAGGAACTAAAATCACTGTCACTTGGGGACAAACTCCTAAAATTATTTCATATTTAAACTCTTTCTTATACTGGTTAAGAACAAAGAATAAACTAACCAGAGGGTATTAAAATAATTGTCTTTTGCTCCATCCCATTCTGTTCACTAGATTTGCATCCTTTCACACGTTTCCAAGAAAGAGACGTAGTAGGAGCACGGTCACCTGGCTGCTGCAATAATGTTCCCTATAAAAGAATTAAGTAAATATTTAGTATATTGAATTTTTTACAATAAAAAATCTTTGTAGTCAGTATACATTTAGTACCAACCAATAAGCCAGTGTCTTAAACAATGCTCTAGAATTTAAAACTGTCTTGTATTAATGTAATAATTTTTTGTTTATTCTTATAATAGTATGATAAAGTTATTTCCTCCCCATTATTGTTAATGTGTTTTTAAATACTTTCCAATCGATCTGTTCTGACCATAAGCTAGCCTCAACTATCCTTAAAATAGTGCATCTCTTAAAAATACTTTACATTTTAGATTTATTTTTATTTTATGTGTGGACATCATAGTGTACGGTGCCAGCAGAGGTCAGAAGAGCGTATTGGATTTGCTGGAACTTGACTGGCAAAGGGTTGTGAGCCTCCATGTGGGTGCTGGGATT